CACCCTTAATTATGGCTAATGTAATAACGAAGGTTCTAAATACCACTTACAAGTAAAGATTTTTTTTTTTATAAGTCACAGCCAAGGCATCAAAGGTTTTAAACAAAACTAGATCTTAAAAATATACTAATTTTTTGGTATACCCATGGCAAATATGGACTTGAAGTTGTGGTTCATTTGAGCATACAGCTTAGTTTTCTATTATCCACCAATGTTGACCAGTCAGTTTGAACTTAGATATCACAGCAGGTCTGCAGACTGCTTGCTGACAGTTTTAACTCAGAACCAGCAAATAGAAACTAATTTGAATTGACCTCTTTCCGGACAAAATTATTCAACAGGCACAGAACCGCTACCTCCTTTACTCTTCCCACATTTCCAAAGCCCAGAAACATTTTCCTGGTAAAAAATAACATAACACCAGAAAATAACCTGCTGAAAATCAACCTACCCCAACAGATTACCAATTAAAAGTACTAAAAAGCCTCCAACCCACCTAGCCACAGACAACTTGTGGCACATGTTAAGTTTTAATAAGAGTTTTAGGGAAAGTTTTACAAGAAAGTAACAAACAAAAAAGAAGGAAGAGAGATCAGGACAACAGATGTTTGATAGGAAAGAAGGAGCAAACCACACCAGAGCATCCGCCAACCAGCGCCAAAATCCCCCCCCCCCCCCTCAACTAGTCGAACAGCAAGATTTAGTGACAGACATGACAAGTTCACTTTACTCTTAGGTTGAAGCAAGAGTTTTCCAGCAACAGTAATAGGTCATAAAAGTGTTACCACAACAGAGAAACATACTAATAAAGGAGAGATAAGGATGCTACATCTTGGACTTTGATAGAAAAGAAGGAGCACACCACACCCGAGCACCCACAAACCACCAACAATATAACAACTTCACTGGACATCCTGTCCCTTGGCTTTGGCGTTGAGAAAGTGAGTAGTACCCAGCATCAATAAAAGGATAGAGGGGTGGAAAGTGTGTGCCTTTTAGTTATAGTAAGAGTTTTACGGCACTCGCAACAAAATGAGGTCGTATAAGAGCTGAAGATTAGGTGTTACAAGAGAGTAACAAACACACAAAAAAGGAAGAGAGATCAGGACAATAGATGTTTGGTAGGAAAGAAGGAGCAAACCACACCAGAGTACCCGCCAACCACCCACAAAAATGCTCCTTCGTCAGATCACAATCATGAACAATGTAACCAACACTAGTCCGAGCACGCCACCCAACCCTCTTGTGCAACCACTTCAAGATTCAAACCTCGCGACAAACACACATATATACACTATACAGCAACACAATTCCCACACCACACGGCACAGTGGAGTGCCACACTGTCCGTCTTCAACACTTTGCAGTCACACAGCCAGCAGTACAAAATGCCCATCTGGTCACCCACCCAGGAGAGTGACTGTAACAGACTTCCCGGGCCTGGTGCAGGTGACCGGATCGGATCATTTCCACCGTCGCAATACTGGCCAAGTGACCCCAAAGAGTTAAACACACCCAACCACCCAGCCCCCACCCTCCCATGACTAGATTCAAAGAAGTTCTAGCATCTTACGCACACTACACGTAATGTGCAATCAAGCATTTCAATGCCGTCAGAATATCACTCAGTGTGAGGGCAAGCGGGGTGGGGTGGGGGTGGGGGGGGGGCGCTCATGAAACCTGCTATTTTGAATGATGACGGCTTTGTCTCCCATTGTGCTAGACAATCGTAAGGAAGCATGTATACATGCTTTTAGAGATCGTTCCACACATCCATGTGGGTGTTCAAGAACACAGGGCTGCCATTAAGAAAATATAGAGGTTCAGTTGGGGAATGGCATATTGTTCAAAGTGTCCATGAATTCGAGTTTCACATGTTCAAACTATCTATGCTCGACACTACATGTAAGTAGAGAGATGTAGCAAAACATCAAAGGCAGACACGGAAAGTTACAGAGATGGTGCTCCAAGACAACAGTCAAGTAAAGAATGGAATAGTTTCCAATTTACAATATAATCATACACCCCCACCCCCAGTGGCAAAGAACTGTCACTGGACAAAACCTTTCACGTCAGAAAACACAAGGGCTTATGGGAAGGACAGAGAAAAAGAAACCTTTTTTGGTCAAGAAACAACACTTTCACTCCATATATACAAACACGCAACACGAAATGTCGGGATCATACATACCTTAATGACATATCCACGAATTCACTTACACAACAAGTAATCCAATCCGAAATTCACAAGCACAGCCATTCTACATAGAGGTGAGCCAAAATAAGGCATACTCTACATACTTAAAGGCACAAAACCGAACAGGCTTACCTGGCAGCTTGTTTATATCAAGGCTCAGTTGCCGTTTCTCATCGTAAGTCATTGGTTTACAACTGTCTTCATCGTCACTATCAAACGGTGGCACAATGGGCACAGGCAGTGACACTGCATTTGAACGTTTGCGATTTGAGCCTCCACGGTTAATGCTGTTATTTCGAGGCTTTTTCGAAGCAGGAGATTTCTGTTTTGATTTCTTCTTTGGCTTGGGAGTGTCTTTTGTGAGAGCTGGGGGTGGCAATGAAGCCGCTGGTACTTGTGGAGACGGATTGACAGCATCGATGACTTCTTTCTTTACTTCATCTTTTTTCTCCTTTTTCTTTTTCTTCTTGGTCTTGTTCTCGCTTTTTTCTTTCAGTCTTTGGACGTGCTCTTTCGTTAGAGCTGCTAACTGCTCTTGAACTTTTGCCAACTGTTCAGAATGGGATGGGGAATGATCATGATAATCAAGTGGTTGCAAACAGAAGTTGATATACACTTAGACATGTTCATACAATAAGACTTAAGTAACTCCAAATCTCATTTCACTCACCATGCCTATCATAATTATCTTATCTATCATTTTTATTTTGACCCCTTTGAGTGCAGGTATTCCAGAGTTACCAGTGTGTTGAACATGTGAAAAGAAGCAGCAGAAAGAATTTCCTTTTTGCCACATTTGTTTTTTGAATACATTGAGAGTACTTGCTTGGACTTTTCATTTTTTGCTGCTGTTTAAGACAAAATACTAATAAGGAACTAAGCAACGATTATCATAAAGTTTTGATTGAAAAAGGGGTAGACAGTACTTGTTTCGGGTTTAACAAAACACTGTCACTGAAAACATGCACAGTATGCTATAACAAATCTTTCTAGGGACAGGACAAAATAGTCCAACACTTTTTCTCCCTAGAATATACGACTGTTCTTGAGATATTTTCATGCACAGATCTCAGCCTATGAAATAAGACGGACCAGAAATCTCCTTTAAACTTCTCTCCATGACTACTGCTTTTCTCAGAGAAAAAAAACAGGAACTAAAGGAGAGGAATTTATTACCCCCAAAAAATTGTCACATTAAAATACCAAATACAGACGTGCCAACTTAGACTTCAGATTTCACAACAAACAAAATTACATAATGTGAGACTGGGTTCAAAGTATGTGATGAGGCCTTCAGATTCCTGATTGCCCATTCCAGGACAGTTGGCAAGCCTGCAATTAGAGCATTACTTTCCAGGACAAGTTACAGCCCTTGACACATGTCTCTACAATTGTTCTGTCTCTCAACAGTAAACTCACCTGATCTTGCAAATCTTTCAGCTTCCTCTCCCGCTCTTCCTCACTTTGATCATCATAAGAATCGTCCCCGCTAGAAGACAGCCCGCTGCCTTCATCCCCTCTCGTTACCCCAGAGGCTACAGAAGAAGGTGGAGTGGGATCAGTCTGCACAGGTTCCTCTGGCATTCTGGCATATTTTAGCTCAAATACTTCCTGAGGAACAAAAAAAAAACATTTTGTTGAACAAAATCCCCATCCACAAAAAAACGTCCCTACAACTATTCTACCATGAGAGGTTGGATGCAAAATAAGAACAAAATCTGTAAAATAAATACATTGAAGACCTTCAGACTGCCTTTCCTTGCTCACAGTATGTACACATTTCATTGGTCCCACGTTAAGTATTCTCAATGACCAAAAAAAAAAAAAAAAAACAACCCCAAAACATTTCAAATAAAAATATATTGACAAATTTATTATTTTATGTACGGCATAAACACACGCACACAAAAACAACTCCACTCCAACATAAAGAAATTCTCACTTGTAACTTTCTGCCCATCTTGGCCACATCACTGTCCGGAGGGTTGTATCTGTAACAGTTGTGAAAGATCTGCCTCACATCTTCTGCAAATTCCCCGGCACTTCTGTATTCTCTGTCCTCCATCTTTTTCTGCAAGGAAAAATACATTACAAATTTGAAAATTTCAAAAAGCGAAGAGAGAGTTAAAAGAGAAAGAAAGCAACAGGACTTGGCGCTTTTTTTTTCAGCAGTTTTTCACAGAATTTTCGAGATAAAGAGGCTTTTTGTCAGTGTTACCATTTTAAAAAGACCTTCGCAAATTCAATTTTCCAATTTATTTTAAAACTTAGTCACTTCTACTATATTTACGATTTAACAAATTAAAAAATTTGACGCCAAAAATCAAACTAGGCATTTTGTCAGCTAACTGCAGTAGTCTAGAAGAACAAACATAACTTGTGTTTTTTCAGCCTGCATACAATTTTTCTTCCGTAAGGATTCAAAGCAACATGAAATATTCAAGGGTCCTTAGGTGGAAAATATCTACAGGACTACTGGAACAAAAGGAGTGATTGTCCCAATCCCAATCAACAGCTCAGCGTACAATTCCGCCATACGCCGTTTTGAAAAGTGACATAAGATGCCAGTCTTCAACTGTACAATGGAAATAATCAGACTAAGAGGAGAAAGGGTTCAGGCAAAGACAAACCAACCTTTACTGTGCCCAAGTCCATTGGCTTCTTTATAATATCATAGTAGTCATGCAGTCCCAATCCTTCTGCATCCACAGGTTTCAGGAAAGGCCAGGCATACGACTGTTTTAGAGCAACAGAAAGGAAAGGCACAGGTTAGACAAGTTTTTAAAGGCTTCAAAAATATGAACAATTACAACTTCAAAACTCACTACTGAGTATTGAGAGGACAAGTACCATGTACGAAGTTCACATAACAGTTAAAAATCATGCAGCAAAAATTTCACCTTGTAAAATCTTAAATACTTCGAAGTTGTAAAAATACTTCTAACCAAAATATAAAAGAAGAAAATTCTTTCTCATACATCCAATAAAAATATTTACCAGCAATAAAAAGGTAAAACAAGAAATATCAAGAGGCCAAGCTACACCTGGTTTTTACAAGACATGTAGATAAGACATACGTTTGATCCTACTCAACTTACCTGATGCTTCTTGGTCATCAGTTCTTTGACAATAGAGCTGCAGTACCTCATCTGCTCAGACAGTTTTCCCTTTTTTCCTTTGGTGCTATGCTGAGCCTGTGGTAATTTGCAAACACAAAAGCAGAGACACTTAGAACTGTTCAGAATGTTGAATCAGCTTTCAATTCCAATCATTTGATGTTTGCGTACTTGCCATTGTTACATAAATTTCCCCAGATTGAAAAAGTTATTTTATCTATTCTTTTTCTTTTTTTCTCATAAAGACCGCCCTGATGCTGGAAAGCACCAATCAATTCCATGGAAAGATTTTACAATTGGCTACTGTAAGAGTTAATATTTGCTCTGATACCTCAATTCTTCCTGCGAATTGAATCAGTTTTTACAAAAGGATTGGATTTGAGCCAGCTGGAATGGCATGTTCACAAGAAGAAATCCCAAACATTCAATTCTAATTGTCTGAGGATGAAAGTGAAATGGTTTTTATCCATGTTATTCGACATACAGCTGGAGGAAGTTATTGTAAGTCTTCTACACCCACAGACCCTCATTGATATTTCGCCTCTTAACTTTATTCTGAACCACTTATTCATGCAGGGCATTCAATTTTCTTAAACCAATTCATGCTGTAAAAAAAATTTCTGAACCTGAAAAATGTGGCAAAGAAATTAATTACCTTAGCAGATCAGAAAAACAAGATAAAAGCATTCAATAGGTTAAAATGAATTATTTTTTTAATTCAAATTAAAAATTAACAAGTGGATAACTGGATGGCACTGCTACAACTAACCTAAATCTTATTTTCAGTGTTATTCTTGCTCAAACATTAGTGCCTCAATAACAAAAATCTAAGTAATAACACAGACCTTATAAGAGCAAAGAAAAAAGATTTTGTATAATCCGCACTCACTGATCCACACCAATCAAAAGCAAACCTATATTTACATCAGTATATGCGTCACGACGCGATGGAATCAGGTGCTCGTCAATTTCCAGGCTCCCATCTATCTTGGAACTGAAGTCTCCATTTTTTCGATTGAAGGACAAGGGGGTCGCCTGGTTTCAGAGGTAAAATTTGCAAGAAAATGGCCACCAAAGTTGGCGACTTCCATGGTCTGAGAGTTCTTGAAAATTGTTGGTGTAATTTTCTTAGCTCTTAATCAATGTTTTACAGTCAAATCTACACAGAAATGCCTTTATAAACAGACATAAATTATATTGAACAAAAGAAAAATTTTCAATGAAAATTGCCAAACCAGCGGAAAAATGCAGTTTCTTCTATTTCATTATTTTGACGAGCACCCAATTTCACCTGGGCACCTCATATTTATCTCATTAATCTAAAATTAAAAACAACTTTAGCTGACATTTAATTGAATTGAAAGATAATAACTGCACAAAACATTGGCATGCACAATAAAAGTCAACGAATATGAACACCACATCGTGACAAGTGCGCAAGAGTGAAATGGAAGTATAGTCAACATTGCTCCAAAAGAAAAGAGAGAAAAAAACCACGCCGTGTATCTACATTTCACTTCTGCACCTGCACACACACAACACAACACCCCCCCATGTACACAAACTATGCAGTTGCGAGCGCCGTAAAACACTTTACAAAAACCAAAAAAACCCCCCCCAACACACACACATATTAAGTAGCAATACCCGTAACTCACAGAGTACAAATCTTTACAAAAAGAGTCCTCCAAATCTGCTGTGGGGCAATCATAATCAACAGCATATCCTATTCTCCCATGACCAGTCCTTGTACTTAAGTTCATTGTATCCCAATAAAAAGCCATTGGTACTTTCTACAAAGTAGCATTAACATCATACCAGGCCGACTGCAACCCCCACCCCTTTAGAGTAACAACACTGTTAACAGTGCTATATAAAAAAAAAGCATATATATGAAAGTCAAATTCAATATCAGTACCCTTCAATAATCAATCGACTATTTCGCAAACAGAAAGGTTAAGATTAGTAATAAAAAAGTGAAAAAAGTGCCACAGACTGTTGCAGCAAAACTTACACTGGCATCACTTACATTTCCCTGCTCATCGGGAAGGTCTCGTCTGGGTTTTTTAATTTGACGTACACTTTCTCTGCGGTTTGGCTGACCCTTGCCACCAATCTTCATAGGTTCAAATGGTGGATCATACATCATGGGTGGCATGTTTGTAGGTCCAACGATGTTCCCTGGTGTTGTGGTGTCAGCCTTGCGTTTTAAACTCTTTTTGGGCTATACAGAATGGAAAGTGAAAAAACAAAAGCTTTAACCGAACACTTTCCAGCACACATATAGATCAAAGACCATATAACTCTTTAAAATCTATGACACTCTAAAAAGAGAAAAAAGGATTTGCAAAGTACACGACTATGTCTAAAATAAATTACAAATGAGAGAATACTTTCAGGAAAAAATTCTCCAATTACCCTGAATGGAAATGATCAAGCAGAGTTAGCAATCATTCTGTACTGATCATGGCAAAGACAGGCCCACTTTTCCATCTTTATGTTCCTTTTTTTATGAAAAATATATATTTCTCGATGCTTTTTTCAGCTTTAAAAAAAAGGATTTTTGGATTCCCAGTATTGTATCTTGATATCTTCTTTGCTTGACAATCAGTTCCCTTTCTTTTTTTTTTCACCAGTACAGATAGTATTCAAGAATAAAACTAGGGTTTAAACAATTTGCATTGTGCACACCAATTAGAAGTCAAGCATACCCACTGTAAAATGGGTGAAAAGTGGAAATCTTTTCATAATGTACAAATTTCGCTATGTGCGTGATCTAAATACAGGGAAAAAAATCTATACTCTGGGAGCGCGTTTTGCTATGCTCGTGCTACATGGGGGGATCCGACAAAAGCACGCTACCTTGGCCGGTTGAGATGGAGGGAGAACAGCGGGCGGCATGGCCTGAGCGGCGGGCTGTATATCCTCTAGTGGGACTGTCGCAGACATTGCCAGTTTGGAGGCCGTCTGAGAGGCAGCAGTGACAGCGACGGAACTTGCAGCAGCGTTGGCCGTTGCAAGCTGAGCAACTTTAGAGGGTGACTGGTAAGCAGGAGCAGTGGCTGAGCGAGGAGGCGTGCTCCTTGGAATGGGCATGGGTAGAGCGGGCTTGTCCGATGAATTGAGGTTCTTCAGAGCTGACCTAGCGGCAGCTGCAGCCACAGCCTTGGCCCCTCCTCTACCCCTCTTCCCACCTACGGACAGTTCGATTTCCTGTTGAGAAGATATGTCAAGTTTTAATACTAGTAAGAGTTTTAGGAGACTTGCAACACAAAGAGGTCATACAGGTACCGACAATTAGATGCCTAGAAAGGGGGAGTACAGATAAGGTTAACAGATTTTTACAAGGAAAGGAGCAAACCACATAAAAGCACATGCCACCCACCCCCAGTTAAAAAAGTTTTGACAATAACATTAGTTTCAAAAACCCTTTCCCAGAATGGCCTTCCTGAATTTTCAATTTACTTTATCAGTGCTTCCACCAGCTGAAGCTAAAAAGTAAGGAAAATTCCGTCGGGGGCCCCCCAAGAAATTGAAATTTAATACTTTTAAAGGGTTGAAAATGGCATTTGGGAGCATGTTTGAAGAGATCGCCAACAACCCATACTACCTTTTTTTTTCACGAAGATTTTGTCTTGTTTGATTTCTTCACACATATCTTTCCACTGCTGGCAATGTTTAAAAGCAGATTCCCCTTCCATTGCTACTTTAATATAATAAATTTGTCATCGCACCATTGATAGAAAGCAAACCTGGGAATAATGAATAGATATGTCTGCTACCTTCACAATAGTTACCCGCCAGCGTGTACCCTAATTTTCCTCAATTTTCACGTCTGAATGTCGCATGTCACAACCTCGGAACACCACTTCGAATTATTTTTTATTTTAGTAAGTTTTAGCACAAATGTCTTTCATCGCGGCCCTTATCGCGTTCCCGTGCGCAGAATCTTCGCACAGATAATTTCTCTAGATCTAGACAATAAATTTGCGAAAAAGTTTCTTTCTGACTAATTTTCTTTGATCACAAGTCAATATACTTGATCAACACGCAGATTTTCCAGCCGCAGCAACAATCCAAAGATAGACAGACGGCATGAGAGAATGATAGAAAACAGGAAAGTGGCACAAAAAATTCGCCAGATTTTGATAAATCTGCAGGTAAAACATGTACTGCCGACCAACCCGTATTGAATGCATGGGGCATAGCCCAGGCGGTCAGCCTAGGGCACAGCGGATTAATGGCCGATGGCAGGAAATGTGCAATCTGGCAGGCTTCTATACCGTAACTATTGCCAAGATAATTACTGTAAATATTCGTAACTTATACTATACAAGACGATACGAAGGCGAGTACGGATCTTTTGCTACGGAATTTCGGTCGTCCTGCGCTGATAATGATGGAGGAACAAGTACAGAACTGGCAGAAAGTACAGATTTCCGTAAAAATACGGAAGAGTGGAAGCACTGTTTATAATGAAACTGCAAACAAAGCAAGTGAGTGGTTGGCGGGTGCTCTGGTGTGGTTTGCTCCTTTCCTATTAAAAAAAAATGTATCGTCTCTACCTCCTCTCCTTTTTTGTGTTTGTTAACTCTCTTGTAACACTTTTAACCTTCCGCACTTGTATGACCTTAATGTGTTTCAAGTACTGTAATAGGGTTCTGCATCCTAAAAGTCACAGCAAAATTCAACCAAATATATATACACCTTACACTCAAAATCAAAACAATGTGATTTGATTGATAGCACTCCAATCAACACAGTGTGCATAATTTAGGAAAACAAAATATTCTACTCCATCATAGTAAACAAAATGAAGTGAACCATTACAAATGTGTCATTTTGATCAACAGTGCACACAATACACATCTCACACGAAAAATACATAACTCACTATCACCATGCTTTTTTTTTTAACTGGATGAACAAAACATTGTAGTTCTATTTCCTTGCAACAGAGACAATCCCAAGTTGACTACATAAAACATTACCTCTGGAGGCATATCTGCAACCTTGTTCAGGAAAAGCTTCTCCAATTCTTGCGCCATCAAAGTAATATCCTGAAATAAACCCAAACCAAACCGATGCTTGAAAAACAAAAGGGCTTAGAGAACTTTCTACGACTATTACAAAATATTTCCACTATTCGTGGTATTGTCTTTAAACATTTGCTTCAGGAAAAAGAAGTCAACTAAATTAAATACATCTTTTGGTAAAAACTTGAAGGCCCTAGCAAAACACACAAGCCTCCAAAAAGGACCACAACTGTCAAAATACCACAAATGCCCACACAATACTTACATCTCCAGGCTTGTTGTAAACATAGCAATTTGTGAACATGGTGTTGAAATCCTGCATGGCTTCCTTGGCATTGTGATAATAGTATGACTCTAGGCGCTTCTTGATTGTTCCCAAATCCATGGGTGTCTTGATGATTTTGTGATAGTCCTGGAAAGGCAAAACAATATATCCAGATTAAAGGTGACAAACAAATATGACCTGCATCTGCAGATATAACCATACTGTCTAGGAGCACAATTCACTATATCAAACCAATTTGATGGTTAACCCAGGAAAAACATAAACAGAGTAGCGTTTAAAAAACCCAGAGACACAACCACCATAAATGAAATACATTTGATCTTTTATCAAAAGAGTATGTACAGTCAAACAGTCAATGAGGCAAAGGTGAAAATATGATAAATAGAAGAAATAAAATATCTGATAAATGTTTGTCATTGCTTCCAGGCAACGAAAAAGCTTAAAAAAAATATTGTAAAAAAGAGCGCTATGATTTATGTTGATTTACAGCAAATGGAGGTATGTTGCACCATGGTTCAACTTTAAAAATGGAGTCATCGGACCTGTGATTTCAAGACATTCATACCAAAGTTCGGTGTTCTATGCAGACTAACGAATCTATGAAGAAGTATTTTGTTCGTTAACAAACTGCAACACTTTGGTGACATAATTTAAAGCTTCATCCCTTTATCTCACGCAAGTCTTTTCCCGCACCTGTTGTGGGAAGCCCAGCCGAATGCCTATGTCTGACCGGCACCCCGTGTGTGATCATTAAGACACAACAATGCTTTTAATTCACTGCGTTACAGGCCGGAAACGCCACACAAATTACTTTCTGCTGATTAAAATTTCGTTTCGTTCTTGTTTCCGGGTAGTAGGTTTTGTGTAGCAGATGATTTGGTCAAGTACCTCTAAAAGAATTTCTGCGCATGGTCAAATTGTGCCCATTTTCGAAAGATCATAACACCAAAGCGATAAAAGATTTCTGTCGTTTATTTGGCATGTTATCGTACTCTATCTGATGTTTCTGTGGTGTAATGTGTATGTTGTGCAAGGGGGGGGGGGGGGGGGGATTTTTGAAAACGTCAAAAAAAAAAAAAAAAAAAAGAGCCCAGACTCTGGTGCTAATTTTTCAAAAATACCCCAGAATCAAGAGTTAAAACAAATCTGAAAATGACAAGTCTGGAACATGTCGAAACAATATAGCAAAACTCGTAGCATGCAAAAGTATAGAATTAATTTCAAACTGGGATTCTTACGGGTAACTGCAGATTCACAGCATCCACAGGTTTGTGAAAGGGCCAAGCAAACTGGTGTTTCCATACAGCCTTCACTACTGTCTTCAGCATAAACTGAAGCTGGTTTGTATTGCGACCCCGTCGGACCTTCGTCTTCGATGGGGGTGGTGGAGGTGGCTCGTCATTGCCGCTGTTCCCATCATCGTGGTTGTTGAAGTCGTAAACCTGTAAGTCAATAAATATGCACCAATGTATAATGCATGCATTCACATTTGAAACGCCGAGTCACTTTTTTTTTAATCGCCTCATGCTTTAACTATGAAGGGTCGCGAGTATGAAACCCCTGATTTAGCACAGAAGATAACCACTCTGGGCCTGAATATAAAACCAGTAACCTTTTTACTCTAAAAGATCCGTTCTGATACATGCCGCAAATTCCTAGAACAGAATCCTTAAAATATCATACACTATGTTTTAAAAAATGTATTTAAAATCTTTACTTTATGATCTGATGTGACAAAGTCGGGAAAAGAACATCGTTTCTTGTAAGCCTACTTCTATTTCCTCTGTTGTTTTGTATGGGCTAGTTATTTCTTTCTCCCTATTTTGTTGTCACTATCAGTTTCACCAGTTTGCATTCCTATCCCATTTCATCAAATGTTTTTTTTTAAATTAACTGCTCTTGTGAAATTTAATTACAATGCTACAGTAGATCTCGAAATAAACTTTCAAGGTGCCTTTGTTCGATCAGAATCATTTTTGGGCCGAGTTGTTGAGTATTTTCATAAATTTTGTTTGTTTAAATTTGTACAAATTCCAGCTCCATTGAATGTCTTGATTCTAATGTACATCTATTTTCTTCTAAAAGAGACTATTAGAAGATTGAATCCCTGGACCAGGCCAAAAACCTGAAGCTGAATTATTTATATGAAGAATAACAAACCACCAGCAGGCTTTCGCAAATTAACTGTTAAGGTCATATGAGCGCCCAGAACACAAGTTCATAACTTTGAGTAAAGACAACGGCTTTTATAAAATCGAGAATTCTGTGGGATACACGAAGAACAAATTCTTTAAGTTAGCACATTTAAAATATTTCCTCTGGGTCTCCCCAAAGTCCAGACATTCTCTTAGAAAGCACCTGATAGTAAAGTCTGAATCACGTCCTGACATAAAACATTTTTTCTTCTCCCTTAGGAGAAATCTAAGCACCAAGGTGTGTCCTCGGGGTTCCCATTAACCAAGGGGGAAAATGTCCTGTTTTTTTATCTTTCCATTTTTTCTCCTGGATTTTGTTAGTATTTTTATTTTAAAGGGGTTTTTTTCTTTTTAAAGATGACACAGCTATGAAGAACAAGTGAAGTGAACTGCGAGATAAAAATTGTACTATGTCCATGAATAGTCCCTTTTCCAGGGGTGCCAAGGACAGGGGTTGTAGGATAGCTGTAAGGTAAACAAAGGTGTGATGAAAACAACAGGCTCATCATTGTTTGGGGGGGGGGGGGGGGGTGTTAAATTATTGAAGGGCTGCCTACCTCAAATCTCCCATTTCATCTTGAATGAGGGTCAAGATCAGGTAGTTTGGACTAATAATAATAAATAGCATTTATACTGCGCATTTCCATTTTCTAAAAGATGCTCAATGCGCATTACAAAGAAAAAGACATCACATCTTATTAATTGCCATGAGTGTACGTAAAACAAAGTATTATACATATAATATAGATGCATATGTGTAAAAATTTATATGAGAAAAACAGTCTCGCAGTGAGGTTGGAAATGTGTTCACTAAAAATATACAATGCAATAAAAAATTCACGAACGGTCGCAATAAAGTTGAAACGTGAGTAACTAGAAACATTCATTCTATTCAGATAGAAAAACATTTCCGTTCTCTCTCTCTCTCTCTCCCTCTCTCTCTCTCTCATACGCTATTTCCTCAGTCTCAGTCTGGCATACACATGCATATATATAATTATATTGCAGTAAATCATTATGACAGGTATGCTTTGGTGAATAAAAAATGCTTCAGCTGATTTTTGAAAATGGAAATTGTTAGGGCAGATCTTATTTTATATGGGAGTTCGTTCCATACCGGGGGACCAAAAAACAAAAATGAACGCTCGGCGTAAGTTTTGTAATTTTGTTTTGGAGTTTTAAGAATTAGATTATCAGACTAGACTTATGTTGCACTGGGACAAAAAAAGCGAAAAAAACAACTCTTCCCTTGTTACAGTAATCATTGGGTCAAACTTGCTCTCAGTAATATCATGTCTAAGTTTGACATAAGGTAAATTTATTATTTCCCCCGCCAATTCTGCCTAGAGGGATGCTGAAATTTTGTTTCTACTGTCTTTAAACACTGAGAAATTGAGTTTTTTTTAAAGGCACTTTCAGCACTTTTGTTCACATTGATCAGCTGAGCATGTCTCGCAATCGATTCTCTCAGCCTTTCTCACATACACATTTTTTTCTTTTATTTTACTGCTAGGCTTGCATGCGATCGATAAACACATATCTAGGCTTGCAAGCAGTCACGTACCTTCGCAAAACGTTATCACCAAAATAGCTTTAAAAAGGAGAAAAGATTCACTTTTTGACTTAAATTTGCAAGTTATTCAAATTATGAGCGAGATGGGAGGAAACAAGAATGAAAAAAGTGAGAAAAGTTACTCGATCGAAGACCTGAAGGCACAGCTCAGTTTGTGTCAACAGGCAATAGACAATCCTCTACTAACCAAGTCTACATCATCCATTGAACAGGAAAGAGAAAAGAAAATTTTCGCCAAAAGTATGAGACATCAAACCTGCAACCTTTGAAAAATGGATACTAAATAACAATCATCCAGAGTAGCTGCCAGTAAAACCAAAATCTCAAACAGTTATACAAAAACTCCAGTGACAGAATGGGCCAGTTCGAAATCGAACCACACAAATATCTACATACAGTGGTGGGACACATCTTGGACTCTTCCCAGATCCAACTTCATTCAGGCATTCATTTTTTAACTACTGCCTAACCAGTAAAAACCCTCCAACTAAATTACTAAATGCAAAACTGTATTTCAGTCAAAGAACACATTGCCAGGACACAGATCCCTGTGAGCCCTGTGAGCCCTGTGAACACCAATGGTTGGTGCAAGAGCTACATTCATCATCCCACTCGGTGCAACATGCTGACAAAATGCTCACCAATCAGCCTGACCAGAGAAACTACTTCTTAGCTGTCAAAAATAGTTAAAAATGTTCCTCAGGCGTGAATTAACTTTATCTAAGCAATCTAAAAAAATCCCAGTCAACATCCTCATTCCTAAGACCTCTCAGGATACAGTTGTGTTTCAGGAAGTAATATGTTCAGACTCCGGGTAAATCCGAGTGCATCTGAAACATATCATGTCCTTAACACAACATTAAGTACTTCAAACCTGGGGTTACAAAACTTCAGGCCATGGGCTGGATTTTTGTAGCAGATTCAAAATAAATTTATTGAACCCTAGAGCTAGAGTGTAAATTTAACATCTTTTTCTTGCTTTTTGGAAAATTTGTTATCCTCAGATCTTTTTTTTTTAAATCATTTGTGCACTGATAAATCAACAGGTTACACCTGGTTATTTTTCTTTGTGTGTATTCCGTGCACAATATCAAACAATTAGCCTAATACCGCCTGCATTCAGCATTCTCTCAGTTCTCCAGCCCACTTTCTAAAGTTTCATGACCCCTGACCTCTGCTTTAGAAGAAAATGCACTAAAGAATTAAACAACTCACATCAGCAGCATTTGCCGATGCTGATCCTTGCTCAGAACTCATGCTGACACTGTCGTTCACCGCACTGGAAAAAAAATAATAACATGTTAGGCAGGACATACATGAAAAAGTAAGAAGGTAGATCTAGGTGAGAATTTCACTTGCCTAGACAACAACAGGGAAGAGTATTTGAACATTTGAGACTTCTTTTCTTGTGACAGTACTGCCATGATATATTCACAACATATTTTCAAAACATTTTAAAGTGTATAGATTCTAGAAACATTTAGATCTACTAGATCTAGACCTAGCCTTCAAACTACAATGTCGCAAGTCATAAGCTTTTAACTTTTAAAAGAAAGAAGCAATGTCAACATAATAAAATAACATAATTGATAGCATAAATGCGCATCTCTAGCCCTCCGTTGTACTTTGCCGGACCTGGAGCAGGCCAAGCCAGCAGAGTCGCGAGCAAATAGAGTACCTGGGCCAACCCGCGACCACTTGTTGTATTTTGCTTCTCAGCAGTCTCTGTCAGCAAAATAGGTCAGGCAATCCATGTTCAGGGCCGCATCAGTGTGTCAACTTCCGATTTACTGTAATATCGTCAATCATTCCAAAACGTCATTCGCAGATTTCGCATTTTAACATGTTAATGCTCTGCCCTTGGCGCGACCGCATACGGAACAGGGCGCGACCATGCGCGCACAGATATGACAGGTGCAAGAAAGTTGTTAGTACACCATTTAAAGGTTAGTAAAATCATTTCTTTATCAAATTATGATGAAAACAATCATCTTATTATTAATAACAGAGGGTACAGAGACAAGGGGTCGCGGGTTGGGCCAGCTACTCTAGTTTAGTAACTGAAGAAAACTTCTCTAAGAATGTTTCTGATAAGCCTTTCACTTCGAACTCGACTGCTGCACTAGCAGACGATTGACGTTCTCGGAAAAGGATTGACCAAAAGTGGAACTAGACAAGGCACGTAACTCTAATAAAACAGATTGCACACGACCTGCATAGAAGGAAAAATTGGGAACTGGTCGCGTTCTCAGGGCACTGTCGCGCCAAGGGCGGATGTCTCTATAAGAATAGTGGACCACGTGATTAGATTGACCAATTAGCCTGAAGGTATCAGGGTTGTGGGTCAAAGGGCACGGTCGTGATGACTGAAAAACACGGTAAGAGACGTCAGTCGATTGTTGGCAGTCGAAGGGCGATGACGTAGAAAACTGAGCAGGAGAGAGAGTAGTGGAGCCCGGAAACGAAGAATAGCGGGCCACTAGGCACCAGGGCACCATAGCGAAAGTAGTTCCGACCGGTGGTCCGGTAAAGTACAATCTTACCAAGGGGTATCCTGGAGTGACATCAAACAAGATGGGGGCCGTACCTAAAAATAATTTGCGTCTTTCTACGTTTAATCGCATGTGGGAAAAACTGCCGCTGACATCATCCGACATAGACTAGATCTAGAATATAAGGTGGTACAAAAGAAAATGGAAACCCCCGAATGACTGACCTGGGCTGACCAGACAAACAATGAATACTAAGCTTGGGCAGGCTTAGCCTACTACTAGGTAACTAGGCCTGGGTTAAGCCCATCTCACTATTTGTATTAGATCTAGATCTAGATCTATATTTAACAGCCAAAACCTGACTTAATACAAATGATACCAACAGAACATAATGCAATAGAAAGAACAATTGCTAATATGAACACATTCCGAGGATCCCTCCCCACAAACAGGCTAACCCAGTAAACCACACCAAGACTAAGAAGAGACAAGACTGTTTTGGGTTGACGAAAGATCACAACCTACAATCATTACCCTCATTCCAAAACAACTTGCTTTAAGTGGTCAATGAAATATGTGAGTTAGCAATACTGTGGACAAACAATATAGGGTATAAAATACGTCCAAAAAGGTACAGTTCGTGTTCAAACTGCAAGAGCAAAAAGGAAACGATCTCATCGCCATTTTGTCGGTGGAAAGCGCCTTCCCCCCACATAATAATCCTCTGCTCAACACAGTTCTGTGAACATAGAGCAACAAATACACACACTTTCAAGGCTTCAACTGTACCTTTTAAGTCCTTGGAAACATGCACCACATATGAAATACACTGTAACCTTTAATTTTCATTAATTTAAGGAGACGAGCGTTATTTTGCGGATAGCGTTGCGTCAGATTAAACAGCAACTATGGCGGAGAGGTCGTTCAGAACAGATTTGACAAGGAAAGACACAAATGAGTTGCACATGATGAAAATGAGCATTGACAACAATAATAATGAGAATATACCATGAATTAACACTTTGGACGTTCTGCTGGTACCCTGGTAGCGCCGGATGGCTCTTTGGGTCCATAGCATAGGTCAGATTGTCATCAGAGACATTCGCCTCAGCCAAGTACATTACACTCTCCCGTCTGCCTTGGCGAGAGGGAGCCTCGTCCCGTTCAAAAAGCTAAGATTTCATTGGCTAATAAGGGTCACATGGTATACATGGGGCAGTCATTTGGGCATAAACGTACTTGTAGAATTACGTAGATTTACTCCGATTTTGATCGTCAGAGTTTATTAGGGTATACCACAATGATTATAAAGTGTAATGTATGATTCACAAAGTCTAAATAGTACTAAAATGGGGGAAACGGCTTAACCCTACGCGGACTAGGCCTATGAGTCCTTCGTAGGCTAACATTGCCCAAACCGTGTGTCGTGTTATTGTGCAAACTCATCTGGCTTTCCATTGGTTCCTACAGTCACATGATATTACTTATCCGAATCGCATTATTCGGAGCTTTTCTAATTTTGCGGTCTTTTGCGGCCTCGGCCAAGGCTCGGGGTTTTGGGGGGGGGGGGGCTTTTTCCCTGAAAAGGCCGAGCCCTGGACGGTCAGAAAACGTATAGGCCGAGCCTATATTTATATAAAAAATACTCTAGCGTAATTCCGGTTCATTGAAAAGCGCGCCGTTGAGGGCCCAGATAAAGGGCAATAGAGGGAGGTTCCGCACACATGACCACAGCGATACTAGTGTTTTGATGAGCTTTAAATCAATTAGTAGAATATAATTGTTGTTGCTGTAGCGACCACCACTGTTATAACTGTAATATTTTCTGTAGGCTATTAGTGCTACTATTATACTACCGTATTATCGTCTTTTCTTCTTCTTCTTTTTCTCCTCCTCCTCCTCCTCTTCCTCCTCCTCCTCCTCCTCCTCCTCCTCCTCCTCCTCCTCCTCCTCCTCCTCCTCCTCCTCTTCTTTTTCTTCTTCTTCTTCTTCTTCTTCTTCTTCTTCTTCTTCTTCTTCTTCTTCTTCTTCTTCTTCTTCTTGTGACTGTGTCTGAGCATTTTGTAAGGTAAGAATTTTTAATTAAAAATCCGAGTTACACATTCAAACGGGAAGTAATCAAATGAAGACAGCGCCGTTCTAGACATACTTTGGGGGAGTTAATAAATGTGTTAATACATATATACTTACTTTTTTGTTTGTTTGTTCGTTTGTTTGGGTTTTTTTCTGTAAGTGTTTATGGCGCAGGCAACTGCATAAGGTCATATGAGCGCGCGGGACATACTAAACATTTTAATTTGGTAGAGAATTCACTTTCTTCATCCACCGCCTCACCTCCTTTGCTCCCGCCATTGGGCCCCTGACTCTTTCTGCAGCCTTTCTACTGCTCCTCCTTATCGCTCCTTCACTGCTGTCTTTCAGCCACACCCCTGACCTTACAACAGGACAGATCTACACCTAGCCTTCTCGCTTTAGGGCAAAAATCTCGGAGGTCCTGTGTGCAAGTTGCGCTCGTTAAAGATCCCTTAGTGATCCAAAATCGTTAAGAGTAGGCTTGAGCCTCAACCAGGCTAAAATTCAAAATTTTCTACCAAGTGAAAATGCTTAATGTCAATGTGTCCCGCGAGCTCATAAGACATTATACCGTTTCAAACGCCCTAAAACACTTACCCCCCAATATACTAATATACATCACAGGTGACAGGCCTTATGACACATTCAGACGTAAAAATACGATGCAAATGATCAACACCTCCACCAATGATCAGATGACTATCAACGAAACACGTCTACAGGGAGTTGAATCCTTCATAGACAAGGTTGGGGGGAACAGACTCGGGTGGAAAGATAAGAATAAGAAACGCAAGAGGTGCTTGCACAGAACTAAGTAACAGCTTAGTTGTAGTAAGGTTTTACGGCGCTCGCAACTGCATAAGGTCATATGAGCGCAAATGGGTGGATGTCAATAGAGAATCAGGATTTCTCTGCTCACCTCTCTAGCCTCAACAGCACAAAGTCTGCTTCGACTATCAAGGCACCCCGGTTTAAAACCCGGTTATAGCAGTTCACAAAAGTGTGACAAACATACAAGAGAAAGAGGAAAATTATGATAGTAAGGATGAGGAAAGAAAAGGCAGTATTTCCCCCTATGTTGTTTCGGCACAGTATGAGCATGACATTGATAAGTCTACTGTGCATAATTATGAACGCATTAACATCCCCCCTTTGGGAATAGTCTAAAGACACTTCAGTCAGTGGTACTGCCCTGGTGAGGGGGCGGGGGGGCGATATGTCAACATGCAGTTATTCAAGAAAAATCCTTAAAATGCACCATGGGAACAAACAAATCAACAGAAAATTGAAAGAAATCAGAAAGAGAAAATGAAAGTGGATTGGACACGCCTTCAAAAAAGTAAAAACCAACATTCCCCACCAAACAAAGAAAAAAAGGAAAGCGGCGTGTCCACTACAACCCGACTTTTTTGTTACAGGGAGGAAGCAAATCAGTCTGTAGGTTTCCGGTGTGCGTGTCCACCTATAACTGTCAGTTTGGAAACGATCAGACCAGACAGTTGGCCTACTGGCCTCCCTGCTATGTACATTAGACCATTGTTGTAGCTTTTCGTTGTGCTTTTAGACACTCTTGGCGTAAATAAATGCGTACTAGTATATCTAAATATTTCTACTATCAGTTTTTCATCTTCTATCTTTTTTCTCAACCTTTCTCTTCAAACTCCGAGTAAAAGCTGACTGAGTAACAAATAACAAACCAATGTTTTTCACACAACCTTATCAGTAAATCAAAACGTTTGTATTCACTGCATGAAAAACCAAACAAGACCTACGCCTCAAGAAAGAGTGTCTTTTGATGTTTCTCTCGTACCAGTAATGTACTTTTATTTTTTAATCATTTTTTAAAAATAGTGCCTTGTGCCTGTTTTTGAGTAAAGCCATCAGCGAATTTGCTACTGACACCACCGACGAAACCAGGTCGTCAGTAGTCACCAGACTGTGTCCTCAGTGTCGGACTATAAATAGGTGGAAATTAGAATTAATAATTTTTTTTTTTTTTTTTTTTTTTTTTTTTGTAAAGTGTTTTACGGCGCTCGCAACTGCATAAGTTCATATGAGCGCGCGGGACACACCTAATGTTTTCAGTTGGTAGGAAATTTGGAATTTTGCCCGGGTGGCGGCCGAAGCCTACTCTTATCGATTTTAGACCACCGAGGGATCTTTAACGTGCGCAACTTGCACACGGGCCCTCCGAGATTTTTCGCCCTTGTCCGAGAAGGCTAGGTGTAGATCTTTCCTACCCGAAGATCAGGGGTGTGGCTGAAAGACAGCAGTAAGAAGAAGCGAAGGAGAAGCAGTAGAAAGGCTGCAGAAAGAATCAGGAGCCTAGAGGAAGGGGCAAAGGAGGTGAGGGGGTGGGGGCAGAAAGAGGAGACGAAAGCAGACGACAGAACATGGCTAGAGAGCAGGAAATGAGGTGAAAGGAGACAAATTTAGAGAAGAAATTTTTCGGTCGCTACCCGGATTCGAACCCGGGACATTTTGAATGAGAGGCCAACACCTTAACCTCTAGGCCACGAGAGCCCCCTGGGTTTTTTTAATTAGTAAAATTGTTAAATGCGTTTAACCATTATAGTTTACGCGAAGACTTTGCTTATTTTGAGGCGTTGATTACGAATTTTATGACGTTAGGTTTTTCATCCAAACTTAAAATATTTTTTTTAAAGCTCTGGCGGGGCCTATGGTTGATGAGGGTCACCACAAAGCCCGACAAAAATGCTGCACGCAGCGTTCCAACCA